TAATAGGTGAATAATAAAACACAAGGTGTGTAAATGGGAGGGTTTATTTTATATTTGTTTGATTAATGCTGAAAGGCCCCAGGCCCAAACTCTCGTTGAACTCACCGAGGAACTGCTGACAGGGGGGTAAAGAGGTTTGGTGGGTGGTGTGTGTGTGTGTGTGCAGGTGGGGTTCTTACTATTTCTTGAGTCTATATCATAGTTATTTATCAAATATATGTCAGGAAAATATCTATCAAATAAATGTCATAAATATATGTATGTCTTGAAAAAGGATGGAAGGCCTGAAAGTGCGAAGCACTGAAAAAATGTGTATATATATATATGAATCTTGTTTGATTAATTGTGACCTTGCTAATCCATCGACCCCCATTGGGGGTGTGCATCAGCGCTTCTTGTCACCTGACATCCTGACAACAGGGGGGTGCATAAAGAAAAAATATGACACATTGTTGGGAGTGTCCCCATAAGAAAAGGGTATGAAATATTTTTGGGAGTGTTCCCATAATAAGAGTTGGTTGGGTATGAGGCAATGTAAATGGGACTATGTCTGCAATAACGGGAGTATAATGGGGTTAGTTATGATATAAATGGGGATCACTTAACATTATGTATATATATAAATGGTGGTTAGTTATGATTAAATGGTGTTTTTGCTTACTGTACCGCCTGCATATATATATATATATACATATATTTACCCAAGATATTCTGGATGATTATGCTCCTTAAATAGTTTTATGCGAGGATGTGTATATTATGTATCGCTGACCTCGCCGAGCTGCTTGAAGATAAGAACGCTCATCCATCATCTTCCCTTTTTTCCGGGGTCGGCGGCGGGGGCAGCAGCCCTTATATGTAAACACATGTTCCATGTCTGATTTGACCTTTTCTATTTTTGATTTGTTTAGTTTGATCTGGTTTTACCTGCCTGTATGCGCACAACATCGCAAGTCTGAAGACTCCCCAAAAGCTCTGGTTAGGCTAATTCCTGCCTATTAGGTTATTTTAGTTTTTAAGGTTAAATTCGATCTATTAGGTTCTGTCTTTTAGGTTATTTGCTTTTTGCCTAAATAGTGTATTTAACCTCAAAACTGTCTTGTTTGAGACTTGGTTTTTCTTTCACTAAACTATATTTTCAACAGTTTAAACTAAAGACACAGTCTTTTTCCATATTTGTTTCCTTCGGGATTTTTGAATTACATGTTCTTTTTGGCAAATAGTTTTTCAAATGTTTCTTCGTTGTGATGTATGTCGTTTTCTTTTCATATATGCGGATCTGAAGTGATTTTTTGTGCTAAAGTGAAGCCTTTTGTGCTAAAGTAAATCGATAAATTTCCGTCGGATATGTTTTAGATGGGGCAAGCCAACACAGCATGGAAGCAACAAAAACACATATCCAAAACAAATCAAAACAATATATGGGCAAATGGGTGTCTCAAAATGAGGTGTCCTTTTTTGACCCCAAAACGGTTACTTTAAAGGGAAAAAAGGTCACCTCATTTTCAGACATACCTAAGCAAGAAAAAAACATGTTTTGCAACAATGGCAATGGATAGTTTTTGGGAGCGCCAAGCCAGCACAGGATGAAAAACCAAAAACAAGAAGAAACATGAAACCAACAAATGCAAAAACAACAGCACAAAGTAATAAATCAAAAAATGTGAAAACAATTGTCCAAAACCTAACTTGTCAGCTGCATCGTTTATGAAACTCAGAGGAGTTCACGTGAATCCGCGGGTGCTCATTGCTCATGGGTGTTCATTTGTGTTTTTCATTTTTTCGGCTGCCACCCATTTAGCTTACTCAGTGGGTTTCCGTGCTCAAAAAGAAAAATCAAAGTAAGTTTTCGTGAGGTTCGCGCGCAATTTTTGGGTATAAAATGGCCAACCAAGAAAACAAGTTTAGACACTTGCTGATTTGGTTGGTGGTTTTGTCTCATGCGCTGCTATTTGGCTGCAATACCTTTGTCTTGGTGACCAGATGGCCTGAGTTCTTGGTCAGCTTGGACTCGATTGTTATTTTTAAGATAAATTTGGGGCTAGAGAACCCCAAATCATTGGCAAACCCTGGCCTTGAAGGGCATTTTTTGAAATCAACTTGAACGTTGGCCAGTAACACATTCATAAACAAAAGCTGTCAAGACTGGAAGGTTTTTCACTTGTAAGAAAGTAGTGGCAAGCACAAAATGTTTGAAGAATTGCTTGGTGAGGATTGGTTGTATTCAAGTTGTTTTTGCAAAAACTAAACGGAGCAATCCAGCCAAGACTTGATCAATCACTAAGGGGGTCTTCATCCCTCAAACCTTTTTACATCAAAACACCTGCCCAAAGATTTGCAATCACCTGGGGCTCTCCATCCTTGGCCTTTCTCCCCATTGAAAAAACCAACGAAACCACCAAACAATGCAAATGACTTGAGGTGATCAGCATTCATGTCTTTGAGGCAAGTAAACCCAGAATATACCCAAAATAAAGAGAAGGGTTGTCAATCCCAGAGCCCATCCATTACTACGTTTTTTTCTTCTTCAAACCTATTTTCAAGAAAATGCAATCCAACCCAGAGTTAATCAATCACTTGGGCCTTCCCATGCCAATCCATGTCCTGAAAACTAATCCACTTGTTTTGCAGTGACTTGGGGCCCTCCAGTCATCAAATTCATTCACATGTGCATGAGAAAATTTCTCCCAGAAAGTGTATGGTTGAAGATTTGTTGATGGAAAAAAGTGATTGACCAAACATGTTTTTGACAAAAAACATTTAAAGAAAACAAGATTTGTTTAAATAAAATCAAGATTTTTGCTGAATAAACATCATTTGTTTGACTAAAAACCAAGATTTTTTGGAATAAAACCAATATTTTTTTGAAAAAACCCAATATTTTTTGAAGATGTTCGAGGAAATGAGGTGCAAGTTTGATGTAAGTTTGCATCAAATTTACATTTTTGAGGTGTAAGTTTACATCAAACTTACACTGAGAAGTGTAGGTTTGCACTTGTATGTGCAAGTTTGATGTAAACTTACACTTGTGATATGTAAGTTTGGTGTAAACTTACACTCTTGATGTGTAAGTTTAGTGCAAGTTTGATGTAAATTTACACCTCAAAAGTGTAAGTTTGATGCAATTTCCTTGAAAACCTTCAAGAAATCTTGGATTTATTCACAAAAATCTTGGTTTTATTCAAAAAACTTGGTTTTTAGTTTAAAAAAATCATTTTTATTCAAAAACAATGATTTTATTCAAAAAACATTTTTTTTTGTTTAACATGTATTTTTTCAAAAAAAAATTGATCAGTCACTTTTTCCATGAAAAAAAATCAACCACACACATTCTCGGAGAGATTTTCCCATGCAGATGTGAATGAATTTGATGACTGGAGGGCCCCAAGTCATTGCAAAACATTTGGATTAATTTTTAGGAAATGGATTGGCATGGAAATGCCCAAGTGATTGATTAACTCTGGGTTGGATTGCATTTTCTTGAAAATAGGTTTGAAGAAGAAAAAAACACGTAGTAATGGATGGGCTCTGGGATTGACAACCTTTTTCCTTCTTTTTGTAAACATGCACCTGAAAACTGCAAAACCCAAAATTTAAACGCAGCTTCCAGGTTTAACTGCATAGAAAATATGAATGCTGAACATCCCAAGTCATTGTTTTTTTAATCGCATTTTTCTTTAGCATAAATGTCAAGGATGGAGAGCCCCAGGTTATTGTTAATCTTTGTGTTGGTTTTATAATATCGAGGGCTGGAGGCCCTTTAGTGATCGATCAAGTCTGGGCTGGATTGGCCGTTTAGTTTTTGCAAAAAAAACTTGAATACAACTAATCCTCACCAGGACTTTCTTCAATTTTTTTGCCGACCACTGCTTTTGACAAATGAAAGGCCATCCAGTGTTGACAGTTTGTCTTTATAAAACTATTGCTGCCCGAACTGATTTCAAAAAAGGCCCCTTCAAACCCTTGGATTGCCGATAATTCAAGAAAGAAATCAGCCCAGGGCTGGGACCTCCATCTCAAGTTCATTCTTTTAAGTTCAAAGAAAGTGGATGGAAGCAAAACAAAACGACAAACAAACAAAAACACATGAACACCCATACATACGCATGAACAACCATGAACATCCATGGACGCCCATGAGCACTCGAGCGCGCATGAGCACCCATGAACTCACATGAACTCGTGTTTTCCAAATGAGTTCTTATTTTGGGTTGTTGGCTATGCGAGTTTTTGATTTGATTGTTTTTTTGAACTGAACATTATTTCTAATTTTATGTTTTATGTTTTTTGTTCTGTCCTGTGGTGGCTTCGTGCCCCAAAAAAATCCTTGCCGATTTTTGCAAAACATGATTTTTGATTAATATATATGTATATAGTCATTCATTTATTTATTCAAATATAAATATATATATATATGTAAATGCTTCTGTAAGCTGCCCACCACAAGCTCACTGCATGCCGAAACGGCCACATATTTTCGGCTTCCACAGCGCCAGTAATGGCTCGGTCTGCGCCCAGCAGCTGAAGGCAGCGGCAGCACCACATCTGGTAGTAGAGCTCGAAGAAAGCTGCAAAGGAGACCAGGATGTAGTCCAGCTGCACCAAAAGCAAGCCTCAGATGCTAGCAGCTCCATCCAACCAGTGCAGTTTACTGGGGAGGAGGGACGGGCCGATGAAGCTGGCAGCGACCAGTCACATGTACATGCGCAGCCATGTAAATGCTTCTGTAAGCTGCCCACCACAAGCTCACTGCATGCCGAAACGGCCACATATTTTCGGCTTCCACAGCGCCAGTAATGGCTCGGTCTGCGCCCAGCAGCTGAAGGCAGCGGCAGCACCACATCTGGTAGTAGAGCTCGAAGAAAGCTGCAAAGGAGACCAGGACGTAGTCCAGCTGCACCAAAAGCAAGCCTCAGATGCTAGCAGCTCCATCCACCATAAGAAAAGGCGCGAGGGTGTAAAACACGCTGGAGCCAAACAAGGCAAAGCGTTGTAGCCCCTCAGTGGGAAAGGTGCAGAAAGCAAGCGGCAGCAGACCGCACTGCATGTCGTGACTCAGGAGGCAGGTCCGTAAGGAGCGATATGGCTCCGACTTCTTGCAAGTATGACTCCAGGGTGCTCAAATGCCTCAAACGCATAGACCACAGCAAGTCGGTTATGTTACCTCCTCGCCGATAGAAAGAAACAGCTCCGCCACCTCGAAGACCACCAGGCGTGATCTGAAGCTCTTTGGCAACCTGGAGACAGCGCAGCAAAAAATCCCAGCGTCTCCTGTAGTTCTGTGCACTTCCAGGGAAAAGCGGCTCGCTCCGAGCCGCGCCCAAGTAAACAAGCCCTAAAAGCTTTACAACATAGGGCACGGAAATTTTCAGGTGTTGCAACTTTGCAAACCCCCTGTGCATGGTCTTTGAAGACTTCAGCAGGACAAAAGCAGCGGCCGTCTCATGCATCACATCCTCAGGCAGTAGCAGATCACCGCGAGTGCAGCGTAAGACTTCGCCAACTCTAGCAATGCCATAAAAGCTCACCAAGGTGATGCCACACCACCGCTTCCATCCATGTAACCAAGCCACTGCCACGAGCGCTTCAACCAAAGACTCAGGGACAGGCGCTCGGTGTCTAGTAGGTTCAGCTTTCTCCCAACGGCTAGCTAGGTCCCAGCAGATGGAAGCAAAAGGCCGTAGCGTAGGGATCTTCCTCTGGGCTGCAAGCACCAAATGCCTGTAGTAGAGCAAGGATCCACCAGCCACAAACTCCGCATCTCCAAAACGTCGTATGGCGTGGGCAAGAAAGAGAGGCACTGCAAGAAAAAGCTGAACAAGGTCTCCACTAACATAGTTTCCAGCCCAAGACAGAAACTTGTCCCATTGCTTTTCTCCCAAGGACAGCGAGGCAAAGGTCTGCAAGGGCGCTTGCTCAAGTGAAAAGTTTCGCACACTGCGGTTCATCCTAGGTCCTGGGTTTGCAGCTTCACCAATCCTGTCGTTGGTGCACTTCGCGCAGCCGGCGAGACTAAAAGGTCCACTCCACTCTGCAGCTTCTAAACAAGCTGAGGCAATCACTTTCGCAAAGCCCCTAGGGTAAGGTTGTGCCACTAGTGTCCAAGGGATCCGCAGGGTTGGATGCTGCCCCCGCAACTTCAAATGAGTCTTCTCGACGCACTTGCAAAGCATCCGAAGGCCGCATAGTTTGGGCAAGTTGGTGCCAACTCTGGTTCGCTTTCTCCACGGCGCTCCAAACCTACAGTAGTCAGCTCTAAAAACATGGGGAGAGTGAGGAGAGGCAAACTTCTGGAACTTCAGCTGCTTCCACAAAAAAGAACTGTCTGGGTTTTCGCACCAAAAGAAAACAATGGGCTCAGCCATCTCGCACGCTTCATGCACCTCGGCCTGAAAATCGGCCATGTGGTTCCCCTCCATCAGCTTTTCCCGCATGCTAAAAGAAACATCAGGCTTGCCACGGGGGAACTGCGAACAACGCACAGGCGGCGTGATGGCTCTTGAAAAACTTCTGCAGACCAAGGCTGAGCCGCACACCTTCACGGCTTTAAGCTGTATGAGACGCAAAACCTTCTGCTGATTCCCTTTGTCAAGCAGATCTTGGTCTGCACCACGGCCGATCTCAAAGGTGACGACCCAAGGACAGCCGCCACGCAGCAGCGCACGAGCCACGGCACCAACCCCAGTATAAAGGTCAAGAGCGCCAGCCACTAAAAACTTTCGCTGAGACCCTTTGGGCCACCAAACTTGCTTCACAGAAAAACTTTGCAAAATACTCACTGCTTCTTCACAAAGCAGACAGCAATCTGCAGCCACGGCAGGCCTGGCATCATCAGGCACGCCCGGTCCGGCCCAGGCCTCAGTTCTCACACGCCGGCCGGTGCGTAAATCCAGCGGCTGGCACTCAGGAGGGAAGGCAGCAGCTGGCGTCCTCAGCAGCTCGGCTTTATTCATCCAAGCGTCAAAGTCTGCATGTTCACCCTCAAGCAAAGAGTTCCACCACGGCGGACAAGACTGGTCAGGTTCTGCTGGCTCAGCGGCCCTAGTAGGTCCATCAGCACGGTTCAAACCAGAAGGCCAGAACCCATACGCACTGTAGAGGTCAGAGCCAATGCAAACTGGTATGGACTTGCTCAGCTCAGCATTGAGGGCTTTGGACGAACCGCGCCCTTTCACGAGGCAACCCAAGGCGACCTGCGAGTCAAGGGCGTAGCCCACTCTACAGCTGGTGTGTCTGACAGCAAGCCTACTTTCCTCTAAAAGGTGGGCACGTAGCTCACCAATGTTGACATGAACAGCTCTGGGGTGAGCCTTTCGCCATTCCTCCTTGTACAGCATGCACCGTGCCAAAACTTCCCAAAACGGGTGCACATCAAAAACTTCACCACCTGGCAGCTCATCCTCAGGAAGCAGCAGCTGTTTAGCCTTAAGCCATGCTTTTGCAGGAGGGAGGAGTTTTGACCAAACACTCCGAGAAAGCGAATGCCTTTGTACTTCTTTGGCTACTGGCAGCGGCAACTCACAGGAAACAGCGGCCATGCCCCAGTCCGAGGCGTCAGTGGCTCTCAACGTTGGCAGAGTCTGTGCGCGTAAGTTCACCACCGCGCAGAAACTAAGCGGTATCAAACAAAACAGCTCATCTGTCAGCTTGCCGGACAGCCGTAAAACCTGGGAGTCATTCTCAGAAGCGGCAATCGCATCAAAGACAAAGTTGAGCACAGCCATCAGCCGCCTGCGGAGGCAAAGAATTGAGACATAGGAGCCCACCATTGACCGCAGCAGGCCGATGGTGACCAGGCCTAGAGAGCAAACTCGCAAGGTCACCAACACGAGAGGCCACATCCTGCTTTCATTAGGCCTGACAGTACCCTTTTTGCCATCAACTTGGACGCCCCAAAAACTTCCAAGCGTGGCATTGTCAAAGGACTTCTTGTCATTCACCGGCAGACCAACTTCGGCGTACTTCGCCATGATCTTGCCCAACCGCTCAGTGCTGCAAGTAGAGGAGGTCTCTGGGTTACCATCAAAGTAAGATTCCAGCACCTTCTCCAAGCATACAAGATCGTCAATCACGATCCCAACAGAGAGGAGCCCACGAGGGACAGGTTGCTTCAGCTGCAGCAACTCATGGGGCTGAGCACCACCGCAGGACAAGACCAGGCGCATACGCGCGCCTTGCGCAAACTCACATGAGTTGGTGTCCCCCATAGCCAAGGTGTTCAGACCTACATAGCCACCAGAGGAGAAGCTCCGTCGGAATATGAACTCCAGGTCTTCCTTCTCAAGGTAGGGGCACAAAACATTCCTCCGGCATCGCTCCTCACTCACCAGGAACTGGTAAAAGAAGTCTCGGATGTCGCGTCCAGACATGACCAAAATCTGCCCATCAGCGAGCTCAATGCCGCCGAGGCATGTAGCACTTGCCATAGTTTTGGTCCACGTGGTGAGCACACGCTCAGCACAGTTTGCAGGTCTGCTGTCAAGGATCAATCGATCCCTATCCAAGTCCTTCGGGACGCCGAAGAGCCCCGCATATAGCCCTCGGTCAACAGCAGAAGGGTCAACAAAGCCAAGCCTGCCAGTGTCAGCCATAGCGCGAAAAAGCAGGTTTCGCTCATCAGCGCATGCATGCACAGAGACACGCGGGGGCTCCAACCGCAAATCATCCAACCTGCACTGCAAGGGGAACTGATAGACCTTGGCAGTCTCCTCATCAAAAAAAGGCAAGGGATCAAAAGCAGGTCGGCCAACAAAAGAAATACGGGAGGCCTGGATCGGCTTGGCAGTAGTGAAAGGGACAGCATCACTCTCATCAACAAAATCGCCGAACTCGGCCCCAAAGGAAGCCCCCTCGTCAAAAAACTTCGTCACGTTCGCAGCTCTACAGTCATAGCTGCCTGTACCCAGTCCAGCAGCGGTCACAGAGGCAAAGGCCCGATGAAGCGCGTCCAGTTGATCGGAGGCGCTTTCAGACTTCGCTGCAGCTCGCGCCATCTCGCCAGCTGTGACCTCAAAAATTGAATTCCCATCCTCGCTGAGGCTCTCAAGTAGGCGAACTCTTGCCCACTGCCGGCCCGAAAGTTTCCGGCCCAGCCAAAGGCAGCTTGGACAAGCTGGGGGCTTGCCGAGGTAAAGCCAGTTGAAGGCCAAAATCACCAAAACAGTCCTCCGCTTGCGCCACATTGAGCCAGCTGCACCCCCCGCTCTAAACACTTCTGGATAGGGCAAGGGCATCGGCCAGAGAGGTCCCAGCGTAGTGCACTCATCAAGAGGGCAAGGCTCATTGCTGAGGAAGCTATGCACAAAAGATCTCAGCTTGCTGCAATGCCTAAGCAAGTGCTTGATCAATGAATTCACCAAAAAAGGAACCTTCACTGTAGGAGCTCGCAATCCAGGGACGATGACCTTCTTCGTGTCTTCATCCACCCTTCTCTCAAGCCCCTCAGCGTCAATGCTATCTAATTGGTCGGGCTCGCTTCGGACCCTGTTTTTGTTTTTGCTTTTGCTTTTGGTTTTCTTGCTGCATCCATGTTGGGGTCGTCTCCAGCCTTTTTCCCAAGACCTCTCCTCTTCGTCACATAGTCCTCCGCCTCCTTGAGATGGGCTAACATCACTTCTGACCACCGAGGGTCCAACAGTTTCGAGAACGGGCTCTCTCCGTCCGAAACATTTGGGGCCACATGTGCGCTCAAAGACGCAAAAGGGGGCCCTGGCTCCAAGCTCAGCTCCGATGCAAGGGTCCAGCTTCCCCTGTCGACTGAGCACTGATCTATCTGCAGCACCAAAAGCGCTGCCTTGGCCCTGGCATGGGCTACACGTCCCTGCATCAAGTCGTCCCATATGCCACAAGCCGCCCAGGCGCAGTGAGCCGTAGCTTTGTAGGCTCCCACTCGTGAGCGGTGTTCCAACCAAGCGCGGGCGCTCAGATGTTGCGCCGGAGTAGGCATCCCCGGCACTTGAGTCTGGCTCAGCATGTCTTCCATCAGCAGCTTCTCGACCACATTCGACACCTCCTCCGGCGTCTCCACCAAGGCTGCGCGCAAGGCTCTTCTCGCAGCTGAAGCTCTCTTCAGCCCTGGGATGCCAGCCGCATCTGAGCTCGTCCCGCCTCCAGCCGAATCCAGGGCTTGGTCTATTTTCGAAGCACTGGCCTTCTTCAGCTTGTCGGCAGACAGCTGCTTCATGATCTCCGTCAACTTGTCCAGCGCCAAAGCAACTGAAGGTTCCTCTTGCCTGGCAGGAGAGCCAGATTCGCCTGTGTCCTCCTCGCCATCTGACTCTGAAAGCACAGCAGCAGCAGAGCTTCTCGCCTTGGGCTTTGCGCCAGTTTGACGCAAAGCAGGCTCTCTCAAGCGGCGTGCACCAGCAGGGTCCACGGCAAGCAGCTTCTGCATTTCTCTCAAGCTCTCCTCGGAGATCCCAGCACCAAGCGCTGCGGCCACGACCGACTGATCCATGCCCTGAAACCTGGAAGTCGTAGCTGAAGAAGGCATCACCAGAGGCGGACCTGGGGCGATGCTCACTTTCTGCTTTGTCTTGTGAGCCGGCTTTCCAGCTACCATCTTCTCTTCCACCAGAATCTTCACATTTTCGGCAAGGCCAGCTAGAACATCTTCCAACTGGGCGACTCTTGTATGAAGCTCGGCTGATCCACCACCGCCGCGGCCGTCGCCCAAAGCACCGCTCTCTGCACTCAAGAAGGAGAAGTGCTCGGTGAGCGCTTCCGCAATCGAGGCAGCAGCGGGTAGAAAACCAGCTTCGCCGTCGAGCTTGAAGACATAGTCGCAGGCCTCGTCCTCCTCCATGATTCGAAGCTCCGCATAGACCTCGGCAGACAGGTAGCCCATCCAGACCTTGATGTACTTGTCCTCCACCATCTCGAGCCGGTCCGCCGCAGTGGTGCTCGCCAACTCCACAAGAGTAGGCTTGGAAAGAACACCGGGCGGAAGCGCTCTCCGCGCAATCGTCCTGTGCCAAACTTGGTGAGGAAAAGCAACCAGAGCCCGACCGTCCACTTCTGCAGCAAGTATGCACTGAATTTTCACCCCCATCGGAGTGGTGTACAAGCATAGCACAAATTCTGGATCTGCCTCCCCTGACGCTTCCACAACAAAATGTAGCTTGCCAATTTCGTCAGGGATCCCATCCATAGTGTCCATGATTGGCCTAAGCAGGCCAGCTGAAGCCAGCGCCAGCAACTACTCGGCGCGCTTCACGATCAGAGGGCGGCCCGATGAACACAGACTCGCCACAATCTTCTCCTCTCTTCACAATGGCCCTGAGAGCGGCCAGAGTCCGGCAAACGCGAACTGGGTCCAGCTCCTCGCCCTCAAAGGTTTTGAAAACTACCCAGACCCGACTGGACAATGGGATGTCTTCTCTGCCTGAAATGCCGCGATGCTCACCGTTGATGCACCTGGAGATGTGCTCAGCGATTCGATCACAAACAGCTTCGCGCTCCAGCCAAGACAAAGTGCACCTGGAAGTCGATGTAGATCCCACCGAAGTAGTGGGAGATGCCGCTCCACTCCGTGATCGAGACGCCGCTTCGTTGAAGCCCCTGACCACTGAGAAAGAGCCGTCGCCGGATTCGCTGCGAGGGGGAGTGCGGGAATCTCGAGAGTCCCCGTAGCCACCTCTGCTGCCCGCCGCCGAATGCTCACTCGGCTCAGGAGAAGCTCTGCTGTCGTCCCCACGTCGTGCTCGACGAAGACGCTGCAATTCACCCCTGAGATACCTTACCTCTTCCTGCAGCTCGTCCACTATCTCCTCAAGAGCAGTGAGGCGAGCTTCCATGTAAGGCTCAGATGAGCCGGTGCAAAGGGCGCTGCACACTGGCAGGCACCGATGAGACCAGCTGCCTGATAGTGATCTGGTACAGATACAGCCTCAGCCCTACAAGAGCTTCCAGCACAGGTCCCAGCAAAAGGCCCAACAGCAGCCCGCAAATGATGGATGGCAAGTGAAAATCAGTCCACCTAGGCGGGGGGCAGAAAACAGCAGGAGGTGAGATCGTTGCCCCCTCCAGCAATTTCCAGAAAACAGCCAGCGAAGTTCCGGTCGAAACTCCGGTGGCCAAGGCTCTGCTCATGCTCGAACCGGTGAAGCTTGGTATATATATATATATATGTAATGTTATGTATTTTTATATACAGTATAATAAGTATATATATATATACATGTGTTTGTGTGTGTGTGTGGGGGGGCTGCCTCAAAATGAGGTGTCCTTTTTTCCTCTCAAAGAACCCTTTTTGGAACCAAAAAAGGACAGACATATCCATGTATATACAATATATATATATATATGTATATTGACAGGTGTGTTTTTTTTTGTCCTGTGTTGGTTTGTCCCATCCAAAATATATGTTTTCTGGTTTTCTTTTGTATGTAGTTTTTCAGCATCATTTTATCGGAAAAAATGTATCAAACCAAAAAGTGTTTCATTGGAGATTACAATGTAGATAGATACATTTATATATAGAGAAAACGAAGTTGATCCAAAAAAAGGTACCAAAACAAGTTATTCATATAAATAACCTATAAGAAAAAACATATTCATATAAATAACCTAAAGAAAAAATGTTATTTGATCATTCTGACTATTCGGTAAAACAGTTGTTTTACCTAATAGGTAAAAACAAAATTTAACTAATAGTCAGAAAACCAGATATAACCTAATAGATAGAATTTAGCCTAACCAGAGCTTTTGGGTCATTTCAATTGCATATGCATGAACGAAAAACATGCAAATTTCTGTCTGCTAGAAGGTCAATATGTATGGACCACAACGGCCCAAAATCCATACGCATTTTTTCTAGTGGCAAGAAACCGATTATACTAACACGCGAAGACAAGAAGAGAAATGCAAAGAAAAGGCAACAGTTGACCAAAGCTGGCCAAACCTGCCCTGAAGAACACAGTTTTCCAATGCGGCAACAGCACTCAGGTACTTACAAGACAAAAGTAAAGAGGCGTAGGCAGGCATGGAGTTGAAGAATGGTTTTTGGCTCCGCCTTGTCTAGATAGCCCATCCTTCTACCACCAAGCCAAGGAGATGGTCTGTGGATTACAGTAAGATGCAGAGGACAGGATATTTTTTCAAAGATTTGCTTCACTGTCCCTAGAGGTGGCAATGTGCCCAGTCCAGAAAGAGCACACGAAGACAAGACAAGGAATGCTAAGACAAGACAGCAAGTGAGAGAACCTGGCCCAGCCTTTTCTAAAGACAACCATGCCAGTGCAGCAACTAAAACAGACAACAAAAAATGAGACGGGGAGCAAAGACATTTTGTCGGCCCATATCGGCCCACATCGGCCCAAAATTTGTCTCGTGAGCTAACCTTTCCACCTGAGCAGCAAATTAAAAAAGAACCTGACAAAAGACGCAAAGGATAGAAGATGGTTTCAACCAGCCCTTGCCCCACAACCAAAGCTATTTCATGTCAAGAGGAATTAAATAGCCCCCCCCTGTCCATCCCAGTAGCAATGTGCAAATACAAGAAAAGAAACGCCAACGAAATACAACAGTTGAGAGAAGCTGGCCCGCCTCCCCTCAAGAGCCCTTCCACTGCAGCAACAGCAACTAGATACAAGACAAGGAATGTAAACGCCAAAGATTGATAATTGATTATCATCTTAAATTTGTTTAGAGGGAAACCCTTCCACCCCAGAAACAAGAAGGAGATACAACACACATCAACACACAAGAGGTACAACAGAGGAGAAGTTGTTTCAAGAAACCTTTGCCCAATCATCTTGGCTACGTAGAAGAAGCGTTGCCTCATACTGTAGTTCCTAAAAGAGCACCCTGTCCACCCCAGAAACAACAAACAAGGACAAACAACCACAAGAAGAGGACTGCAATGCAAAGGCACCAGTTGAGAAGCTGTCCCAGCAACAGCAAGTAGAGAATCACAAGACATCAAATGTAAACGTGGAAGAAGAAGGTGATAGTTGATTATCGGCCAAAGCTTGTTTAGAGAGAAACCGTTCCACCCCAGAAACAAAAAGGAGTAACGATACACAAGAGGTGCAATAGAGGTGAGGCTGTTTCAAGTAACCTTTGCCCCATCGTCTAGAGCGTGGCTAGGTCAAAGAAGTTTTGCCTCATGGCCCGTAACGACGGCAACCTGTCCACCCCCAGCAACAACAAGCCAGGACACGAAAAGTAATGAAAAGGAAAGACGACACAGTTGAGAGAAGCTGGCCCCTTTCAAAAGAATTTCCACCCCAGCAACAGCAACTGGAAACAAGACAAGAAACATAAAAGAGAAAAAAGGAAATTGGAGTACCGATCCTCGGCCGAACCTTGCGCAGAGAGCAAACCCTTCCAGCCCAGTAATTGAAAGGAACTATATACAATTCGTTGACAATTCCCGAAAAAATACAAAAATGACGGTAAGTTTTTTTAAAGTAACTTTTGCCCCATCATCTAGGCTACTTGGAAGAAGCGTTGCCTCATACTGTAGTCCCTAAAAGAGCAGCCAGTCCACCCCAGAAACAACAAACAAGGACAAACAACCACAAGAAGAGGACTGCAAAGCAAAGGCAGCAGTTGAGAAGGTGGCCTAGCAACGGCAAGTAGATAGTCACAAGACATCAAATGTAAACGTGGAAGAAGAAGGTGATAGTTGATTATCGGCCAAAGCATGTTTAGAGACAAACCGTTCCACCCCAGAAACAAAAAGGAGTAACGATACACAAGAGGTGCAATAGAGGTGAGGTTGTTTCAAGTAACCTTTGCCCCATCATCTAGAGTTGTCCCTAAAGACGGCAACCTGTCAACCCCAGCAACAACAAACAAGTACAAGAGGAGGAATGCAAAAGAAAGACGCCAGAGCTGAGAGAAGCTGACCCCATCCCCTTCGAAAGCCCTTTCACGCCAGCAACAGCAACAACAAACAAAACAAGAAAGGTGGAAGTGAAAACCTCAAAGAGCAACCTGTCCACCTCAGAAACAGCAAACAACCACAAGAAGAGGAGTACAAAGCAAAGAGAAC